AAAAAAAAAAAAAAAGTGTAAAGCAGCGAGCCAAAAGGGAAGCGAACTGAATGGAAAAGAAAATCCGTTCGAAAACCCGTTTCGAGAGGCGGAGGAAATCTCAAGTCGTCAAACTGTATTTTACGATCGCTGACTGGCCGAGGCGTCGGGCGGTGTGGGGTAGGGAAACGAAAAATACCTGTAGGTTAAGGTTATATTCAGTCGTACAGATTTAGGGTTTAACTGGGGAAACTTGTCATCATTTCTTCTCTCGTTCTTACCTGGTTTTTCAAAGAGCCAGTTCCGATGGTTATGTAAATCAGGGGAACAGCTATTTATCAGATCATCCCATTGTGTCTAATTCAGGTAGATTCACCTCATCTTAGCCGAGGACAATCAATCTGAATATCTCGATTGATTCATTGTTATGGAAGGGGTAAGTAATAGAGAGATGGGGAAAGAAGGGATGAAAGAATTAAATAAGGAAAAGGAAATTAACAGTCCAAGAAGTCGGGATACATTAACTTGGCCACAAGCCAGGGATCACTGCTGACCCTTTAACCAGCTTCGCCCTTGCTCGTACTACTAGTATTAGCCGTAGTCAATGCCCATCATGTGTTAGTTGAGCAGTCATCTTGTGTTCACCCGTGATCATACTTCGCTTGTGACATCACACACCACACACCCTCGACGAATGTGTTACACTACAACCTATCTTTATATAGATTTAAACTCTTTTGAGTTAGTTGGAGTAATATACTATGTACGTCAAATCAAACTTTGATCTAGACGAAAGCTACCTGATCTTTCACGGATCTTCTTTTGTCCACCATCCTATCTATATTACCATACCTTCTTCCTAAAGAAGTAACACAGTCGCTCCTAGGACCCGATATAGGCTCGGTACATGTCATTTCCTGGCAGCAAATAAATCGCATCAGCGCGTGTTCCAAATGCAGCATCAGTCTCTTCATTCTTCAGGACAACTTGCGCCAAATCCCCGCGGTAGAGGCGCATCAGCCCCTCACATTTCTCGCAAAGGAGCAGACCACACCCAATCGCATCTTGAGAGGGCGCATCTACAGGTTCTTGAAACTTATTCACCGTCTGTAAGGCACCGCATCCGAAAAAAGCCGGGTGCGGACACAATGAGCACCACGGATTGATCTTCTTCGGAGCCTGTCCTGGCATTGGGACCAAGCTATTGTACGCAGCCGTCAGATCAAATTTGTCGACATTGTATCCTTTGAGAGGGACAATCCGATGAGCTACGCATCGCATGACATGGATACGTTCAAGCACGCAAACAACGCACATACGACTCGGCTCGTGACCTTGAGCAAGGTGACCACCACCAATCTCGATGCATCTTCCATCCCCAAAATCCAACACCTCCACCGTTCGTCTGCCCAACCCCAGCAATCCATAGGTGAAATTGTCACACCAGTGACACGGGCTGGATCCATCCTCCGGCGGCTCATAATTGAAAATTATCGGATGCGCCAGAGAGGTACGAATAACGCGAGTGACAGGGTATTTTGGATCGCAATCAATAGCTTCACCTGATGGTATCCCAGGCAAAGTTGGTCCTTTGCGATCATCGTGATTTGCAAGAAGTGAGGAGAGAAATGCCCTTCCCGTATCGGATTTGAGCGGTAAATCAACGATGAGACTATTCTGTTGCTCTGGTGAATTTGAAACCACATCATCTAGTCGAGATGAACGCTTTCGCTTCCTGACATATCTGGCCTTTGGATCGTAGTTATCGTCATTGTCATCATCAATCCAGGTTGAGGTGATTGTCTGCGTACTGAAGCTGGATCGCTCGCGTAGAGAGTATCTGGGGCTGTCGCTTATTTTCGGGGACCCGCGAGAGGGCCTGGGCTTGAGAAAGACCTTCTTGGCCCACTCTAGTCGCTCGACAGTATATTTTATTTATTTAATCAAGTTTAACGTCCATATGGAGCCAATCGGCTATGACAGACACATGCGTCTAGGCAGTGGTCTAGGCCACTGCCTCTAATT